AAAAAAAAAAAAAAAAAACAGAGTGGCCAACCTCCCTGGTGGCACAGCGGGTTACAGCACGGCACTAGAAGAAGAAGCTAAAGCCACTTCAGCATGAGTTCGATCCCCGCCTGGGAAGTGACCCACATGGCGCAGCAGACGTCTCTTGACCCGCCCGCTGCTCCCCTCTGCAGTGTACTTCTCAGTCAGCCTGTTCTGCTCCCCACTCTGTCTTTGGTGAATCCTCTCTCCACCCCTGCACCTCTGGCCTGTACCCCAGTTCTGTATGCATATATTTTTTTAAAAGTTTGTTTAAAAAAAAAAAAAAACGGAGTGGCCAAAATGAATTCTGAGCTATAGTGAGGAAATACAGGGGGTGAGAACCTAAAAACACCACCAGTTAATATGAATGCTGATCTGTGGTACAGTTTTCAGTGCTACACAGATGAAAGGAATAAGGATACAATATTACAAAACTATAAGTTAATTTCTTCCCCTCTTTGTTTTAATCACTAAGAGCAGCCTTTCAAAAAGGTTTCTGTCCTTGCTCAGTCAGGCGGCTGTGCACACACACCCATGTTTTGGTATCTTTGGGAGGATATCTGTCTTCTTCCTGTGTCATCTAGATTTGCCAAAGCACTGGCTTTCTGAATACCCCCAAATACTGAAGGGTCAGTTGTCTGGGAGATGTATTTGACTGCAGCAGATTATGTTGTCATACACAATTATTTCTACACTTGGCCTGTGGCCCCAGGCCAAGCTTTCCTGACTGTTTCTCATTCTGTCTCCCAGTCTCCCTTCAGCCCTCTCATCTGTCCCCTATTTTCTCTCCTCTCTGCCTCTACTTTTCCCTGCCTCTCTTCCTCCACCCTCACACACCCAGACACAAACCTCTCCCTTGTCTTGTGTTTTACCCGTTTTCATTTCTCTGTCTATTATAAATGTTAATAACAAGCATTTTATATGTAAGTATATGCTCATTAATAATTACTTTTTAAAGAATGGAGACTTCCAACTTCAAAGATCCATATCCCTAAAAAAGCTATCCAAAAGCAGTCAGCTTTATATTTCTTATTAATGGGCACCATCTTGTTTATAGTGGCCTTGCTATTATAGTAATGCCAGCAGAGTTAGTGTAATGACAACGACAATGTTTGATTTTTCTTATTATGGCTAATTGTTATGAATTCTTACCACTTGCGACATCTTGTTCTAATAAGTAAGTGGGTCCAGAATTTAGTCTGGAACCCTTGGGTATGTCCAAGACTCTTTTCAGGAGCCCGTAGGGTAAAAGCATATTTTTAGAGTAGCCCTGAACCATTGTCTTTATTACTGCGTACTTGCGTAGGGGAGGGTGGGTAAAAGTGCTGACTGGGGTGCCCGGCAAGGCCCGTGGGCTCTGTAGTCTGCACTGTCAGCACTTTTGGTTTAAAAGAAGCCGGTTTTGGTTTAGAACCCTGAGTACATGTCCTTTTCATGTTCTCTGTGAAAAAAAAATCAGGAAGTATGCATTCAACACTGCTGCATGCTAAGTGTGTTTGAGTTGGCAGCTGAATTAGTGACATTTTTCATAGGCCACCATTTTCTGGGTTTTGAAAGAGTGAACGACACACTATTTTAGTTATTGAGACTTGGTATTTGGTAGATCTGTTCTCAGAAATGGAGTCAGCCTCTAATTTCAAGGAAAACACTGAATATTGGTCCAGTGAGACACCTGCCCATTGGCCAAACTGGATGGTGCTTCTTCAGAGACAGGCCTCCTGGCCGCCCTCTTGATGCTGCACAATGTAAACTTTTATATTCAACTCGTGTTTATCAATTATAATTAAAGTTACACTTTGAATACTGATGACTTTTTGAATAGCAGAACTACACATTTTCCCTAAGGTTCCCTGAATACAGTCAGTCATTGTATAGATTAGGTAAACAGAACCCAGATATTGAAAGCCATGTCTGAGATAATACTCTAAATGCATGATTTATGGCCTAATCTTATATTTTAATAGTGCTTTAAACTTCCCTGTACTTTCCTATATGCATTTTCATCTGATTCTCACACAAGCCTGAGTCTCTAAAGCAGCTTAAAGATAAGGAAATTGAGACACAAAGAAGATAATTCTCTGAATGTATTTTATATTTTCCTGCCTTTGCAGTTATTATCTCTGACATCCTGAAATAAGTCAGCAAGTGGAAAGGAGATAGAATTTCTAAGACTTGGCAATTAACTGGATGCAAGAAAAATACAGAGGGGGAGGAGTAGAGATTTTCAGAAGTTCTTGCACAGGCCAACATGCTTTCCTGATGGCTTTTTCAGCGGCACCACTATCATCTTTTGGATTCTTCACACATGCAGTCTGTTCTTATGGTGTCTGTGGGGGAAAACGGGCTATGCCCACCAGAAGATTCCAGGAAGAGGTGCTAGGTGCTTGAGCAAAGGCTTAGCTCAAGTGTAGTCACAGAAGAGAATACTAAAGTGGCTTAATAAGGAAATTGAGACACAAAGAAGATAATTCTCTGAATGCATTTTATATTTTCCTGCCCTTGCAGCTATTATTTCTGATATCCTGAAGTAAGGCTCAGCAAAAACCTGGGAGCAGCAGCACTGAAAGGTGTCCTGCAGAATGGTAGGATTAGGGTGTTCAGAGGTTTTGAGGAGACAAGAAAATTTAGTTACAGAAAAAATAATGAGAACAAGTGTGGAAGAAGGAATATCAGCTACAGAAGTCGGGAACAGCACAGCCCTGGTCAGTAGATAATGGGAAGTTATTATTGGAAATAGTTATTCCAGTCACTTATTAGAAATGTTGGCTACAGGCTCTGAAAATAGTAAATATCATAATACTGCCTATATGTTTAGTTTTAATAGAAAATTCAGTTCACTTTTTTAAAATGATACTTTCCAAACAAGTGTCTTTAAATACAACCAAGTTGTTTCTTTACATATAATCTCTTAATTTTTCCTTAGCTGTTAGATTAAGATAGCATAATTCATTTTCCCAGATTTGGGGTAATAGTTTTAAAGATGGTTGTGCAAAATATTTTGGTCTCATTTTGTAAATCTACAGATGACTTTATTTTCACACTTAGACGTTCTATCAATCCTTTAAATTGTATTTCATCTGAACTGCAACTCTGTCTTCAAATAGCTTAACTTTGTCTTCCAGGTCTTTCTTCTCCTTTGTCATCAGTGTTTGTTGTTATTATTCACTGCAGAATTTATCTGACTTGGATATTTATTACTGTTTTCCCATAGATAAGCCAGATAAATATGACCCGCGTGATGTTGAAAGGCTGCAACAAGATGATAACTGGGTTGAAAGTTATTTATCTTGGCGACAGAATGCTGTAGATGAAACAATGAAGATGATTGATGAGAGTTTTCAGTGGAGGAAAGAAATGGCTGTCAACGGTAAGCTATTCAATTTAACAGGGACAGTCTACTAGCACCTACGTAAATGTTACTGTTTTACATTTATTGGATAGTGATGTAGTTATCCTTAGTACTCATTATAAACACAAGAATAGAATGTTTTATAAAGACCCAAGAACACTATGAAAGGAGAGCCTTATAAGTCGTTTAAAAGTAGATCATCAGGAATCAGATCACCAGGAAGGGGAATCACAGATTTCTTCTCTCACAGCTAAGTCTCCTAATCTGTTTAGTTCTGTGTCTTTCAACAATAGCAAGAGAGCTTTACTCCTAGACCTAGAGATAAACTGATACTGTTTTCTTCAGTTGGCTGCCTTCCTCAGTTGGCTACCTTAGGTCTATTTATTCCCAGAGTTCCTTGTACTGATAGATGCACCTTATAGGACTGCTGAGGGTCGAGCATATCCCAAGGTTGCCTATGGCAGACAACATCCTTAGTTTCAAATGCAACATCTAATTAAAAATTTCCCTCAAAATAGGAGTTTTTGATCTTAGGGAGAAATTTACATAGTCTTCAAGAATGTAATGAACTCTTCTTAGGGAAGGTTAATTGTTAGGTCTCTCCTAAACACTTAAGAAGAAACTGGAATAGCAACTTATTTGACAATGTATAAAGATTGATTTCCTGATCTGGAGGATTATAAACTCCTGAGTGACAAGTGAATCTGGAGACTTGATACAAAATAGCCCAACATATACTTTTTGAGGGAATCCATCAGCAAGATACTATTTAAGATATAGTTTGATTGGAAATGTAAAAGCCATAGTAATTTCAACAATGAAGCATTGATTAATAAAGCAAAGGAATATAAACCTGATATTTCTAAGTTATATATAAGTAGAGAATAAGCTTTTAAGCTTAACAGTATTTTTTCCTTACATATAATTGCTCAGTTCCTGTGGCAAAGAGTAAAGATAGGATGAAAGGGGGTTGGGGAACAATGAAGACATCTTTGAAAGTTTTTAGGGAAATACTAATGATGATCTGAATCTAATGATGAATCCTGATAATGACTGGGCAAGTACATTTTTTCTAAATCACAGTACCATAGTCCCTGTTAAACTTCTTATCCAACTTCATCAATTTTTAGACCTGAGTGAGTCCTCCATTCCCAGATGGTTATTGGAAATTGGTGGTATTTATCTGCATGGTTATGACAAGGAAGGCAACAAGCTGTGTGAGTATATTTAATCTGTGTTGTGTACTGGCTTTTCAAGATTTTGAGATACTGACCAACTGATTAAAAGTAGGCAGGAATCTGGCCCTCCCTGGTGGCGCAGCGGGTTAAAGCACAGCACTAAGAAGCTGAAGCCACTTCCGCAGGAGTTCGATTCCCACCTGCCCCAGAGGTGACCACAGGGCGCGGCAGACCTCTCCTGGCCCACCCACTGCCCCCCTCAGCAGTGGACTTCGTCGATCTGCCTGTTCTGCTCCCCGCTCTGTCTCTGGGGAATCCTCTCATCCTCTGCATCTCTGGCCTGTACCCCAGTCTGTATGCATAAATAAATCTTAAAAAAAAAAAAAAAAGTAGGCAGGAATCTATTCGTAGGTACCACACAGTGAAATTTCCCACAATTAAGTGCTATTAGCGCCATCTTGACTAAGCATCAGAAACTTAGTATTTGTAAGTAATGTTTGTAAACTAGGCAGTATACACAAATGCTGCATCCTGCAACAGCGCCCAAACAATGTAATCCAGTCAGTCTTCCAAGTGACCGTGGTATTAAAATGTATCCCAGTATTCTTATGGAAAATCTCTGACAGTCTAAGTCTAAGCCTTGCTAAACTTTTGTTTTCAAGTTTTCCAGTCTTAGCTTCTTCCTAAATCTTCATGATCACAGGAGGAACAGTAACCATCATCCCCATGGACCCGATGCTTCTTCTCCCTCTTGTCCAAAGCCCAGCTCGGGCATTCACCAAGGCTGGGCCCGAGTAGGAGCATCCGAGTCCCATCCTGAGCAGGGCGGTTTTCTGCATGTTGAGTGGGTGCCCTGCTTGCCCCTGTGTGGCATGTGACCTGTTCCTGTTTTGAGTGGACCCTGACTGCATTTTCCCCATCATGGCCTCCCCTGCTTTCCTTCTCCATATTCTGTTTTCATGTCTTTAATACCACCCTCCCTTCTATACGCTTTCCAGCTTCATTCCTCTCTTCATTTTGACTTTCCACCTGATAGACTTCTTGGGTGATCTCAGTATCCTGGCAGCTTCAGCTGCTTGCCCCAAACGGCAGTGGCCCCATGCCTGCCCCACGCCCCGGGCACACGCACACCTCAGTCGCCACTGACTAGCGCTACTAGGCTGACAGTCGCTGCCGTCGATACAGCACAGCTGAATGCCCAGGCCCCAGCAGCTGTACCCTGTCTGGACTCGGGCGTGCAGGGACTCACTCTTCCTCTGACATATCTGCGCTGTCCTGTCGCCCTTCTCCCTTTGCACTGGCGCGCCACCTCCCCCCCCCCCGCCACCGCCCCGGTTCAGCCCCTATGTACCCTCCCATGGCCAAAGTTTGTGAGGTTTTGCTGACTCAACCTCCCTTCTGTGCCGCTGCCCAACAGACATTTTAAATAGAAAACGCAAAAGGCCTTAGCTTTTCACTCTTGAGTCCTTGCAGCCAAGCCCTGCCCCGCCTCAGCACATCTACTCTTAGCTGCCATGGCTCGGAGCAGCTAGCCACGCTCCCCTGGCACGCACAACACCCGCTCTTGCCTGCATTGTGCCTCTGACCGTGCTGGTCCTCTGGACGGTACGTTTTCCCCAGTGCTTGACGGAATTGCTGACTCTTTTCTAGGCACCATGAAAAGTACTTTTATTACTACAAAATATTACCTGTTCCCCTCTATTTTCTTTTACCTTTATTGACTGGTAAAGTTTGTTCTAAGTGTCCCTAGTATGTACTATTGCTCATTTAAAAGAAGGAAAAGATGTTTTTAATCTGAAAAGCAAATTATAATTGAAGAAAAATGTCAAGAGAAAAGAATGATTTATATATATATATATATAATGCCATAAATATTTTCCTATTTTTATCATTTTTCTTACTTTGATCATTTGTTTTGCTTAAAGTCTGGATCAGGGTGAAGTATCATGTAAAAGACCACAAAACCATATTGGACAAAAAGAAGCTTATAGCATTCTGGTTGGAGCGTTATGCTAAGAGAGAAAATGGGAAACCCGTAACAGTGATGTTTGACTTGTCAGAAACTGGAATAAATAGCATAGTAAGCATTTTTCATTCATTCTAAATCATATTCATCACAGTGCCCCCCTCTCCTGTCCTCTCTGCTCCCCTCTTTCTGACCAAACAGTGCTAGAAAACTGAGCTAACCAAGTTGTGCTTGGGATTTCTTTCTTTCTCCTGTGCTGCGAGCGAAGTCAAATATCGAATGGGATTTGCAGAGAATTAAGTTTGCTTCAATATTTGACAAGGAAACTATAGATTTCTTAGACATGTTCCTTGTCTGATCTACAGACTTATTTAGAGCTAAGACTGGGAGGCGGCAGGGTAATGCATAGATGTGATTAACAGCAAACTGGCCTGTCAGAGTGTATCTCCTGCAGCACCCAGCCTGTGCCTGGCACGGTTAATACACGCAGTAACTACTGTGCACTGAGCACCTTCCAGTACAGTGGGAGAGCCGTGCCGTGTCCTGCAGCTGCACAGGGCTCACCGGAGTTTTGTGCTCATAGCACTCTGTGATTTGGAAGTGGGGTGGGAGTGGGGGTTGTTGGCTTATTGGGGTTTGCTTTATGTCTCATTTGTTGGCTTTGGAACCCAGTTTTTTCCAAGTGATTTTACCACGCTCTAATTTGGGTCTAGTAACTCAAACCCAGTGGTAACTGTTGGTACAAAGCCTTTGGCAGCAATGGAGATCCACTGGCATATTTATTAGGGCCACTTTCTTGGACATTCAAGCCCTGGCTAACTGGTAATAGTGACTGGCATTCACAGACCTATCTGGGGCAGTGCTGAAAACCTTTTTGCAAATCCTCTTGGCAAACTACATTAAGAACCTTAAAGTGTTAGTAGTCATGCTCTGCCTGGTACCGGCCTTCTGGAGATGTATTATAAAGGAAAAAACCCAAGTACAGAAAGAGCACTGTGTACCAAAATGGTTTTTTTCTGTGTATCATGAGTGAAAAAATGGAAAACATGTAAAACTTCACAACAGATGGTAAATTATGGTGTATCTAATACAGTTTTGTAAAGTGGTTTTATTAAAACTTTGTAGTGATACTGAAAAATAAGTTTTTATAAAAGGTCAGTGGGATATTTCAAACTGACACCTACTCCCCTAAAAAGTAAACCTTTGCCATTAGAACAAGAAGACAGTCTAGGGTGATCTGTTATAAGAGGTTTTAGGAGAAGCAGGTCTACAATTTTTTTTTTCTCATTCTCTTCATGTATCTGTATTTTAGGAGTGTAGTGCCCAGGATTTTTCCATGCCCATGAGTCTTAGATTATAGACTAAAATCATTTTATAACCAAAATTTAAATCATACTGCCTCGATAAAAAAAAAATTCCATAAAGTGAAATCATGATTCTGTTATCCTGGGGTAGTTACTAATGATTAACTCAGAAACATACAAAGAGAACGTTAATAATTCTTATTACTAAATATAGGGACATGGAATCAGCGTGGACTTTTTATTTTTTTCAGCCCACCTAATGTACTATCTCATTATCTTTAATTTATAAGTCAGGTTGGTTCATTTGCATTAAATATTTAGATCATTAATACTTTTAAATACTCAACTCTTACTGAATTACTTTATATTTGATCTCAAGATTCACAAAGGACTCAAGTCAGCTTATAAAGGTATATAGAATTGCAGGGCAGATTTTTAATTATTTGTTAGAGCTGGGTCACTAACTTGGCTCTAAGCTTTCATCTCTCTCTACCTGAAAGAGATGGGGGTCGCTGACAATGACTCAGCCCTACTTTAAAGCCCACTGTATTAGGAGAATTGTATCCACTCCTGGTGCTTGAACAGTTTGAGGGCATTTTACAAGGTGATGCTAGTACACTTAACACACTGCAGAGCAGCACTAGCCACTAATATGTGTACACCAGTGGAATTCTGTCAGTGCACTTGAATAAGCAGCGGTGTGAGAGTTTATGAGCAAGGATATTCAGTTAAATAAAAGATGAAAACAAGAACAGCAGACAGCAGACTCTTTAGGCAGAGTCTCTTGGGGTCACACACTGTAGACTAGCTAACACAATTTTCATTTAACTTGTTATTTAAGATACTTCTTTGACAATTAACTGCAAATTTGTAAACTCGGCATAGATATGTTAGCTAAGGGTATTATTATATATTAGGATTTAGCCCATAATCAATACCTGTGATACTTAAGGACGCTTGCTTTCAGCTTCTTGCAATTAAAGACACTGCAATAAGCTGCTAGATGCGGCTTTAGACAGTGTAGACTCTCCTCTGGAGGACAGCTTACCTTTTCGCAATGAATGGACATAAGCTAGCCTGCCTATGTCTTTTACCTCAGAGTCTTTACAAGATGACTGATGTAGATCAGAAAACCAGCCTGTAGCCACGGAATGCAGGGTCCACGGAATGTGTACAGTAACCCTGGTAACCGGATTTAAGAGGCTTTTACATCTGTGGTCAATGCAGTAGAACCAACCAGCAGCTCAGTTTATAAAGCTTCCCACAAATTAGAGTCAATGAACAATACTTGAATATAAACTAACAAATTCTAATTCTAGATCCCTAAATAAGGGAAAGGAGCTAGAATGGAAGCAGATGAGTAGCAGACCAATATGATCAGGTTAACTGTTGTGGGTAGGATTAATAAAGTTTATTTTATTGAAACTATTATGAGGTACAGAAATCAGGTTTAAAAAAACAGTTTATGTAGGTATGCAGTCTCATTCTGCGTAGTCAGGTTGTAAACTGTGTATTTGTTTCAGTCATTCTTTAGTTGTCCAACAGACTTTTAGTATTTCTGTAAGGGGACTGCTCTTAGATTCATTTCATTATGCTACGTTGTCTTAGCAGCCTGAAATACTCTCTAACTACTTTGAAATAACATAAGTGATATTAAATTATCACGAAACATCCAATTTATATAACTCTGTTGTAGCACTGATTATTCTAAGTAGCGTAATGACTTCACACCTTAATCTCAGGGAATCTAGATATTGATGAGCTTATTTTTTAATCTAACCAGTTGTCTCATTTGTATTAATAATCTATTGCAGTTTAAAATTTTCTTGTGGAATGTCTTAAAGATTTAAATGTATAATCTTTTATTTTAGGACATGGACTTTATACGCTTTATCATCAACTGCTTTAAGGTTTATTATCCTAAATACATCTGTAAGTAACTTATTCCTTTATAAAAATACATTAAGCTGTAGCCCACATCTAATCATGGTGGAGCTCTCATACCTAAGATATCTTTTCAGTTATGCAGGTGGCACCGGCTTACAGTATACAGACCTTGGAGGTCAAGGGTCCCTTCCTGGTTGTTGTTTCTGCACTGCACCTGCCACCACAGCACCCACACTACACGGTCTTTGTCCCTTGAGCTTCCGTGGCTCTTTGTTCTTTGTCTTCTCACTCCCCTTCATCTTTTGGCAACCTCAGTTCTACTACCAGACTTGAAGGGGTGGTTATTAGTTTGGCATTATCTGACTTGAAACACTATTCTGATGAACAGTTTCAGTGTGTTCGTAAGAGCATGCCCTATTAGGTACATGGGAAATTTTTTCACAAATAGTCGTCCTTTATAGCTAGGTCACATAGCACATATGTGCATATATGGCATCCTGTAACATGCAAACATAGACATAAAAGTATACATTTATTCCCAAGAGTATCCCATTCTAACTCATCTTTCAATTGAGAAATTCATTTGAAATAGTATTTATTATATGGAACTTCCTATGTGCGAGAACACATAAAAAATACTGAGCAGTACTCTGATGAGCAATCCTGATAGAGTACACTGTGTACTAATTACTATTTTTAAATGGCCATTAAGAAAACACTTGACTAGAGTACACTACATTTGAAGCTAGCATTTAGAGTTTGTTTTTAATTGTGATTCTTCCATTAATTACTCGAGTGAAGACCTCCTATATCTTAAGTACTTTTTTTTTAAAACTGTACTTTATATGATGATTTCCTCCTGAGGAAATAAAATGCCAACATGACAGTCAAATATATGTACCCCAATAGGCTGATAGTGAAGACAGAATGAAGGCATCAGAAAATGTAAACTCAACAGATCTCCTGGGCACACCCAGAGAAGGCCCACACTTAAGGACCTTTTTTTTTGGGGGGGGGGGACTCACAATTAATGCGATACTAAAGCAAAATAAAGCAAAATCCATAAGTCATCTTATTTTGGCACACTTTCACATATTAATATGAAATCAGAAACAAAAACATGATAGAGGTCAAGAGTCGCTGCCACCCCTTGCCCCAGCCCTCACGTCTTCAGATAAAGTCATGGAATAGTTTTAGTTAGAATGTCTGGACTGGTAACTCAAATGACCTGCATTTTCTCCTGGTTATTCCTGGATCTGGCAGGTCCCCTGTTTCAGCAAGTCTTCCTGGACGTTGCCAGTGGGTGGTCAGTAGGGAATCACTATCCCATATTATTAGCTTGTTCTCTTACATACAAAATGAAAATCAAACAGCCTCTTGTGTACTGAAATATCTAAAGAACTTTGTCAAAAATCACTTAAAACATCTTACAAAACAAATCCAAGATTATTTTGAGAAACCTATTAAGTTCATGGTTCTGTGTAAAAATTTTAAGCAGTACTCATTTGAATTAGCTAGAGATAAGGTATAAATTATAATACATGTTGTTTTGCAGACACTGAATTTTATAGCATCTGGAATTGATAATGCTTAAAATCTGTCACGAACTATGACAGTTACATGTCAGAATCTTGAGTTCGTGCCTTTTTAGGCACATAGCAGGTACAGGCTGAGTTATTAAGCACCAGAGCACCTCTTTGCAGGTATCTTGTTCCTACACGTACTTTACCTGTCCTGTATTAATGGCATCATTTTAATTCTCTACTAAGAGGGAAATGAAATTACATTTCGATTCATCTGTAACAGAAGAATGACTCGGATATCAAAAATCCCCTTTGTGGTTTCTTTCTCACAACTGTTAATAAGGCTGTTTAATATCTTCATCTCAGTATGCAAATACGTGTGTATACTTTAGAATTATTGACTTCCTGGGGTTCATAATATTAAGTAAAAAATGTTTGGCTTGCTAAACAGTCACTTATTAAAAATTGGGGGTTGGCAACCTTGAGTATAGGTTAACAATACAATCTTTAGAAGATTATAATTGAACCCCGAAATGACATGTGGAAGTCACTTTAAAGTTCAGCGGAAGTCAGCACTAATATGACATGCACATGCAAAGACTGCTTACCCACTTAACTGTTTCATTTTGTAGCTTTCTGCAAACAACAAAAGCAGTTAATTGCACAAAAGAACAGACTGTTTGCCAATGAACAGTGACTGCATTATTAATTTTCCACAGGCTGTCCTCCTGGGCGGGGGGGGGCATCAGGAGAAGTTGTTCAGTTCTAGCATCACTCACTTCAGAATTAGAACTTCATTGATCAGTTCAGTTTTCTGTTAAATTGTAATCACCAGGGTTTTTTTTTTTTTTAATAGATTGGGTGAAAGTGATAGTATTATAATGGTACTAAGCCTCATTCAATGAATCTTTTTTTTATCTTTCAGCAAAAATAGTGGTCTTTGATATGCCTTGGATAATGAATGGTGAGCATAATACGTATATTTTCCTAAAACAAAATGTCCAATTTAATTTTTTCTGTGCTTTCCCAATTTAGCCATATTTCTCCAGATGTTTTTAAAGATGTTTATATGGTGTTTGATGCATACACACTTAAGAGGCTGTTCCTTAGCAAACTGGATAACATTCTACCCCCAGAATCTGAAATTCACTCTACATTTCTGGTTGTATAACTCTTACAACAGTCTCATATTTTTGGGTTAAAAAAAATTAGTCATTGAAAAACCCCTTGCTGATTTTAACATGATTGTGAATTTAATATTTTCAGAATGTACATTTCATTTGTTGCCAAAGTCAGTTGTTACATAGAAAGTAGTAGAAAACACAAATCCAAAACTTGATTCTTTGAAAATTTCAACAGATTGACAAAACTTTGGCTAAACTGATGGAAAAAAAAACTCACTAAGCTCAAAAACAAACAGCTATCCCTACCATAGAGAAATGAAAAGGGTTATAAGGGATTGATAAACAATTGTTGTATATCAAGATAAGATAACCCAGATGAAATGGACAAATTCCTAGAAGACACAAACTACTGAAATGGACTCAAGAAGAATCTGAATAGAGGTATAGCAAGGAAAGTGAATTAAAATTAAAAAAAAAAAACTTCTCATAAAGAAAAATCCAGGCACAAATGGCTTCACTGGCAAATTCTACCAACCATAAGGAATTAATGCGAATTGCTGACCAAAATTCTTCAAAAAATAGAAGAGAAGGGGAGACTACCAAACTTATTCTATGAGATAAGTAGATCCCTAATTCCAAATGTCACAGGTGAAGAAAACTGAAGACCAGTATCCTTTACGGATCTAAGTATATACTAGCTGAAATATTAACAGCATATGAAAAAGCACTATACCGTATGGGACTTAGCTCAGGAATGCAAAGTTAGCTCAACATATGAAACTCAGTCAGTGGTGTCCAATATGTTAACAGACTAAACAGAAAATACATATTATCATTTCAGTAGACACAAAAAAAGCAGTTGACAAAATCCATTATTCTTTCATGATAAAAGCACTCAGTAAGCTAGAATGGAAGGTACAAAGAGTTCGAACAACCAGTTAGTGGGACCTTACTAATCCATAAAAGGGCATGTCAATTCAGACCTTTTTAATTAGAATAAATGAAAGTTTAAATGTTAGCTAAAAAATGTCAAGTATAATTAGCTAAAGTAAAAGTGCAGTTTATGTTTATCATGCTGCTTTAATATTTTTTCCATTGATGCTTTTGAAAACTTAATGCAGTATTCCTCTTTTCTTTAAGATGTGCTTAGAATGTCATCATGGAAGCAAGGTTTAAAAAATTAAGCATAAGAAATGACATGACAACAGAACAAGACTGCAAACCTAAACAGTTGCCTTTGATAACCGTTTATCCCTGCAGGCTCTGATAGGTCCCCACAACTAGGAGTTGGGGGAAAGGCAGTGGCAGTTGAGGTTAGAACAGAGCTGGGTCCAGCTCATACCCATAATGAGAAGAGCTAATTCCTTCTCTTCCCAACTTCCCATTTTCAGATTGTGGGTTAATGCAAATCATCAGGCAGAAGACTTTCCAATCTATTGTGCAGTTATTCCCTGGATCACAATGCTGTTTGATTCAGTGTCTGAAATCTTAGTGATGGGAGGAGCATTAATGGATTTGTGCAGAGGCCAATACCCCAATTTATTAATGAACGTCAGAATAATTTAATCTTCCTGAATCTTCATGTAACATTTGAAAACCATAAGGGATAATCACAATATAGATTTCTACAGGAATTAGAGAATGCTAACTAATCATGATTTGGAAAGATACAGATTATAGCCCAAACTAATTTCAGGAGAGCGTTGCTAGCACATAAAGTAAATTGAAACTGAGAAAGAATTAAAAAGTTTAATGAAGTGACTGTTTTCTCCTTAGCTGCTTTCAAAATTGTGAAAACCTGGCTTGGCCCAGAAGCAGTGAGTTTATTGAAGTTTACAAGTAAACATGAAGTCCAAGACTATGTCAGTGTAGAATACCTGCCTCCCCACATGGGTGGAACTGTAAGTATGGTCTTTGAAACTTGTTTCTAAAATAAGAATGCACTACAACACATTAGCCTCAAGGAAAAGAAATATAACAGTCAAAGAAAGACCATAGATACCCCAAAATAGCAAGCAGCATTGCATTTTTAAGTTAACAAATTTTTATTTTTGAATAGGTTATATATTTAGTTATATATTTGTGTTTGCTTCTAATTGTATACTGTTGAATAATCTTTTTAACTTAAAGGATAATACACACTATCAATTTTTTTTAGAAATTATTTTGCTACTGACAAATAAACCAAGAGTGTATAGGTATGTGTTAAGCTTTAATACTACATAACAATGAAGCTTATGATGCTAATGACTTTGATAAGTTGTTTGACTTTAGGATTTGGTATATTTTGGGTTAACTTGATTGGAATATTTGAACTATTTGATTATAACAGTCTACCTTATTTACTTTGTACTGGTTAAAATGATGTTCAACCAGCACCAATGGTCTAATGAGTTGAAAAGTTTTAGTACATCCTTTTATTTTCCTTAATTAGAAAAATCCAAATCAATATTTTAATATGAGGTTTATTGTTTTATTCTTAGGCTTTATATTTCAGATTTTAATCTAGAAAAACATAATATAGTTCAAGGGCTATCCTTAGTTAAAATAGTGATTTAATTGATTTGTCATTTCTAATAATCTGCCCGTGGAACTTTTAGGTTGTAGTAAGAATTAGTTTGATTTAGGGATAGAAAAAGTTATTTTAGTCTTTCCCTTTTGTTAGTATTTATTTCTCTAGGAATGACAACCTAGCTAGATAAAAGTGTTCTTTTTGGAACTGTCGTTCCTCTCCATTTTGAATATATAATACCATCCCTTCTGGCCTGTAAGGTTTCTGCAGAGGAATACACTGACAGTCAGTCGATGGGCATTCTCTTGTATGTGATTTGTTTTTCTCTGGCTGCTTTTAAGATTTCCGCTTTTGTTTAAACTTTGTCTTTTTAATTACATTGAGTCTTGGTGGGCCTCAGGGTTTATTTTGTGTGGAACTCTTTGGGTATCCAGATCTAGGTATCTATTTCTTGCCCCAAATTACAGAAGTTCTCAATAAATCAACTAAGATTTCTGCCCCTTTCTCTTTTTCCCTTCTGGAACCCCATCATATGAATGTTTCTTTTGATGTTTTTCCGTAAGTCTCTTAAGCCATCTTTTTTGTTTTCCTTTTTTGTTGCTATTTGTTGTTTCTGGTCTCTGAGTGCTTTCCACGGCTGTCTTGCAGCTTGCTGACTGTGCCTGATGCTTCAACTAATCTGCTGTTCAGCCTCTGTGTTATATTTTTTAGATCAGTATTGTGTTCCTGCGCTGTGATCTCTTTGGAACTTTCTATTTACATAGAAATACGTTTATATGTAAAATTTTTATCTATCTGAAATTTATCTTGGTGTATTTAGAGTGAGGTTAAAGATACAGTTGGCTCTTCTACTGAGAGTTGGCCAACTGTCCCACACCATTACTGCTCTTTCCCTTTCTGGTTCAAAATGCTTCCTTTATTTTATATTTCCCTCTCAAGTCTTTTTCTAAGACAAAGATAATGGATGTTAATTTTACTAAGAGAATTATTTATTCCCCCTATTTCTTAGTAGGTTCATCCAATATTATTTTCTTTTAGGATCCCTTTAAGTACAACTACCCACCACTAGTGGATGATGACTTCCAAACACCATTGTGTGAAAATGGACCTATTGCCAGTGAGGATGAAGCTTCAAGTAAAGAAGATATAGAAAGTGATACTAAAGAAACCTTGGAAACAATGTCTAGTGAAGAACAAACAGCTCTTCCCAAAAAGGTAGTTTTAACACTATATTAACATTGACTCAAAGTTGTGGCCCAGCTCCAATTCAAACACTAGCTGACTATGTAATTTGTGGTAACTTAATTTGGCACAATTCCACATCTTTTTGTGTAAAAATAAACGAAAGATGGGACTAACAGACCAATAATCCCCGGAGTATGAAAGGCTGGTTCTGTGATTGTGTATAAAAACTTGCAGAGTATAGCCAGAGGAGCTTTTTATCTAAAATACTTTATATAAAAGTAAATCATGACTTTATCTTGATCTGCATTCATTTTTAATAATCACTTAGTTTTTGAGTGATGGAAACTTGACATAGAGATAAGAACATAACTAAAAGACTCGTAAGGAGAGGGCCAATTTATATGTTCTCAAGTGACCTATTTATACTAGGCACACAAACATGCTGCTATTCATGTTAAAGTTTGTTATGCTAAGATAAGCAAACGCTTGTTAAAGGTTATAACAGGGTATCACTTAGTTTTTGACCTAATGACCTGCCCAACTATCAATATGAACTTAATTTTCTTATATTTTCTTCATATTTTTTTGTCTTCAGATGAACCTAACTGAATCTACATCCAAAGCAGAAGAAAATGAAAAAGTGGATTCCAAAATGAAAACTTTCAAGAAACCACTGAGTGTGTTAAACACACCACTGAGTGTGTTTAAAGGGCACTTGTTACACATCAGGTAATATAGTCAGGGCTGTGTCAGCCGGCTGTCATAACGTATCTAATCTTGAGGGACGTGCAAACCTCAAGAACCCTCTGCACTGTTTCTCAAGCTGATGAAATACAAAACTAAGGGTTATCTGAAGTTACCTTGGCTTCCAGACAAGGTGAATGCTTTTAGCTACCCATTTAGTATTTACCCTGTTGAGAATTATCATTTCATCCCATCAGGTAATAAAAGCTAATATTCACATGTTAACAATAAATTTGGATAACATGTATTTTACTTATTTTACTGACACTGTTAGACTTGCACACCTTAAGAATACTAGAAAGAACATTGATTTTGGCAGAGAACAGGTTTAAAGGCCAAGTTTCAGCCCATCTCTTTTTGTTTCTGGGTTGTTTGACCCAAAAGAATCAGGACTCTTTATCATTAGGTAAATACCTCTGAGTCACTGTTGATGTTTTTGGTTGGTAAATCTACATAGCCTTCTATAATACTGCTATTCCAGCTTTCTGTAGTAAAACCTAATGCATCATTTGCAATTCTTTTACTTGAAATCATACTTGTTTTAGTGATGTCTTTTCTGAACAGTACAATACATTTTTAAAAAATCATATTCTCTGACAAGATTAGTTGGTTACACATGTTTTGGTGTGTGTGTGAGAGAGAGAGAGAGATTTGTACATGTTCTACTTTTCTGTGGTTCTTCCCTCTCTTTTCCTCTACTGGGTTGGAAGTTACACGTTCCATTGCTGAAGGCCTGTGAAGGGCGTAAGCCCTTACCTACAGGCATCCAGGGAGAGCCAGCTGCGAGAAAACCTGGCCAGAGCAGGACAGCTTCCTGGCAGTCCTCTGGGCTCTGCCACTCTCTGCCTCTCCTCAACCCTGAGAAAGGCGCAAAGCTAATCCTACTCAGGAACCCAGCCAATATATGTCTCCCCAAAGCTCCTCAGGGTTTTGTGCTGGTTACTGAGAGCTGTTCTGAGATCCATAGCCTTCCTGTCCTCAGAGGGGGTTCAAAAAGGAAGCCATCAGCTATGCTAATTTACCCTCTCGTCCAAAGCTGAGCAAAGCCCTCTTGGGAGAATATTTATTTTAAAATAAGTCTCTAGGTGAATAGAGAATTTTTGGAGGGGCTCTCCGAATAATTTGCCTTTTCATCTAAAACAAAATCCCTGCTCTTCCCTCTGTACTGACTGAGGCACCTGACACATGAATAAGCTAATGCAGCTAAACCAAACACACTTGGCATCAGTCCTTTCACTCCTGGTCATGGACATTACGGCACTGATAACCGTAAATTTTACATTCTCAATCTTACTGATATTTTGTTTGGCAAGTTCTACCTGCAATTCTCACTCCAAACTTTATTTCTCTCTTCACTTTCCCCTTCCCTGTTACTTAGAAAATGGCTGTAAAGAGTAAGAACTTAACTCATACTTAAATACACCCCTAATCTTTCAAGTTATGCTCGTCTCTGTTGACATTAAAATACGCTCCTTTGTTTTATTATATAGTGTTCTAAAAAGTTGAAATGCATGTAAAAATAGTGCTGGTTATAGGATTAATTCAGAATCTCAATTCTCTCTTCTGTTCCTTCCTGTTTTCATGTTGGAGAAAACCTTAGGACTTTTTAAAAAGCTTACATTGAATCAACTAAGACAATGCAAATGATATTCAGTAACTGTTTTTGTAATCTTGGCTGTTTTGATAAGCGATCTATACAAGTGTAAAATACTAGCCAAATATTTTTCTTTTAGCTGATGATGAGACTGTCATTTATTCTGAGTATTACAAATATCTTTCATTTTTGTCACCACTTAGCCCAGCAGAAGAACTGTATTTTGGAAGTACAGAATCTGGAGAGAAGAAAACTTTAATAGTATTGACAAATGTAACTAAAAATATAGTGGCATTTAAGGTAAATATCTGCAAGATAATAATTATGTGAAAATTTGCCATGGCAAATGATTTTAGACATTCTAATCGAAATCCCGATAATTACTTAGTTTTGAGGTAGGTTATACTACCTTCTTTTTCCAGCAATTCAGTATAGTCTATCTAACATTTTTCTTGGGATATGTATCTAGTCTTTTGTGCAGTAAAAGACTAATGTCCAAGTTAGTGCTAGGGTCGAATGTTTAACATATAAATAATTCAGTCAGTATTAACAGTAAAAACTAAGAGTGTAAAGCTGAAAGCGCCCCCCACATGGCATGTTCAAGAGTATCACTTACGCCGAATATATACGGATACTGACATACTTGATACTGAGCGTTAAATGTAACGTGAGTCTCACTGTGCTGCTATTACTTCCTTGGCTTATGAGACAGGCCAAGCAACAGTGGCCTCATAAGAGCATATTCTTAGGTTTTTCTTTTGATGGTGAAAGGGGCATCTATGTATAACCACCAAGGTTGCTTTATAAACTGCATTAACTACATATTTTATGGTCTTTCAGTCATTGCCACAAAAGCCAAAAAGGTTAATATGTGACTGCTGTATTTATAAACAGGTGAGAACAACTGCACCAGAAAAATACAGAGTCAAGCCCAGCAACAGCAGCTGTGACCCTGGTGCATCAGTTGATATTGTCGTGTCTCCCCATGGGGGTGAGTTGTCTCTTGAAGCAAACAGCGGGGTGGGGGTGGGAACCTGGGGTCGGGCAGTGGCAGCACAGGTGGGCCAGAGCCTCGACACCAGCAGCATCAGCTGCTAAGGCCTCCACCTCACTCTAGGTCTGTCTCTTCACACAAAACCAGGCAGGCAGAGGATTCCACATAGCCCTTTGAAGCATTAAAATGTTTGCATTTTTTTATGAGTAAAATTGTTTCAACTGACCCGAGTTGAAACTGAATTTCCAAACTCAATCTGCTTTTAGAAGAATTCTAAGGTAATTTCATATTCTTCTCGTGCCTTGATGTAATCTAAACAAATGCTGTAAACCACATCATTGAACCCTTTATAAAGTTCCTTTTCACATGATAAGTTCCCCTCCTGAAATGCAGGTTTAACAGTGTCTGCCCAAGACCGGTTTCTGATCATGGCTGCGGAAATGGAACAGTCATCTGGCACAGGCACAGCAGAACTGACTCAATTCTGGAAAGAAGTTCCCAGGAACAAAGTGATGGAGCACAGGTATCCTTTTTCCTCGCAGGCTTTCAAAGGGGGTGTAAAGAACCAGATGATGCCTGCATAGGCTAGGTAAGCACCCCTTCCTTCTTTGCAGGTGTTGCAAGTGTTTAGGCTTCAGGTGTGGGCCCTGAACCCCTCGAGGCTCTGGTGCACCCAGTGATTGGGACCTGTAGTGGCCTGAGGAGGCTGCTAGCAGAAGAAGCTCTCTGGCAACCAGTGCAAGAATCCGGAGGAGTCAGTCAGAATTACAGATGCAGCAGTGTGTCCCAGCAGCTCCCCTTGCAGTGATGCTTGCCTTGAGTACTGGAACATCTGCTGCAGAATTGGCAACAGTGAAGCATGGGAAGAGTATAAGGAATATTCTGCAGCTGTCCAGAGTAGAATGTGTTCTGACATAGGAAGACATCAATGTTATTGGGGGGAGGGGGAGCCTAGAGCCTAGTCATAAAAATGGAAGCCGTTGTTCTCTAGCTAGAGAAATTCTTTGAGTGTACAGATATATATATATATATATATATATATATATATATATACACACACACACACACATGTATGTGTGTGAAAGTATCTCAGGGTATGATAAATGATAAAGGCCTTGAAAAGATATAAAAAAGAATAAGGAAGATATTTTGTGTTTTCTCCCCTCACACTTGGCAATGACTGGAATCACCTTTGGGTGTCATGTCTAGGGTTGAGGTGTTATGGGTGTCTGGTGGTTAAGAGATCAGGGACACCACTAAACATCACACAGGAGAAAGCCCCACAAAAGAGCATATCCAGCCCACAGTGATATAGCCCTGAGAGTGGGGAATCGCAGCTGAAGGTAGTTGAGGGTGACCAACTGATAGCAACTGACCAGGACCTGAAAGAATGCAAGCCAGAGAAACTGGAAAGAGAGCTTTCCAGTAGAGATAACTGCTGTAGAAGGAACAGTGTGGGGCAGGAAGCCAGATCATTGCTGTAAGAAGGCCTTCTGCTTTTGGAAAGAAGGAACTGTTAGTTGGTGCTGACCATGAGCTGATCCAGCTTATTTTTCTTGCAAGGGTTATTTGGGACCATGTGGAAAACAGACTGTGGACACCAAGTAAGACAGTAATGTTGAGTTAGTATTTACTCTTATTCATAAAACAACCCTAGGAAGTAGCTACTTTTCCTACTTTATGAGAAGCTGGGAAACCTAGTGATTATAGCTGAGTGAAATCTTTGAAAAAGCAATTGAAAGAATACAGATGTGACTGGAACGCAAAAGTGAGAGTACCCACAGTAAGAAAGTCAGTTAGAGAGCCAGCAGGGCAAAGAGGCGCAAGGCGTGTTCACTACCCTAAAACCAGTGAAAGCCCCAATCTGATTTGCCTTTGACAAGATCACCCTATTTTTGAGTCATTCACTTGAGTGGGCCATGGAGATGAGCTTTATTTCAGTTGTCCCAGGAAGAACCAGTAAAAGTTAGAAGACTATAGGGAATCAGGAGAGAAACCAGTTATCTGTGACATCTTAGCCCAGCAGAAGAACATGTTTCACGAAGGGAAAAGACCCCAGTGCTCCCATGCCAGTTACGAATGATGAGGTCTGAGCACTGGTGGTTGCTGGTGATATCACAGAGGTCACTTCCCAGGGAGCATTTTCAGTCGGCAGGAGCTGCACATGAGAGAGAATCAAGATGTTGAAGAAATGGGGGCGGTAAGGCTGTTCCGGAGATTTGACTTGTTAGGAAAGGCCTCAAGTTATACTTAGAAGGAAGAATATGGGGCTGATGAAGAGGTGGGATTTTTAATAGGAGAAATTTGAGCATTATGCGAAACCATAGCAAGGGCCATTTGAGGAGGAGAGGCTGACCATATGCCATAGCTATTGGCACTGGGATCCTGGCACAGTGGCAGGGCGGGACCTAAGCGGAGTTGAGGATGTCTGAGGAGGGAAGAATGAGGGTGTGTGTGTGTGTGTGTGTGTGTGTGTGTGTGTGTGTGTGTGTGTGTGT